AACTAAGGTGGTCCATGTCTACAATTTGAGCCTAGATTATTCAGTCTCATCTGTTGCACTCACCAAGTTTGGTGGTGCTCTCGTCTAACTTCTTCTGTGTTCTATATTATTTCCTTGTGTCAAGTAATCTTTTGTAATAAAGATTATTTAGTCAGTAGTGTCTGTTGATCACATTTGAAATTGTCGTTGTTTCGACAAGTATCGCGAATTGCGAACTAAGCCATATTGAGAAACCGACTTTCATGAATAAATTGCATAACTGCGGAGGGTCAAAATCACCAGCAAAAATTTCCTTTTTTTCAAATGCTAATATGATTTAGTTAGGTCTGTATACAACAGTACTCCGTTTAAGATTCTCTTCATTAGCCTTTAAACGGCAACCTAAAACAAATTTGGTGATACTAGCTATCCAAAAGTACGCAAATTTTCTACGAAAAAAGTTCATAACTTCCTTCAGAGGATCGTTTCGCAGATATCGGGCCCAGATTTGGAGTCAGCGTTTCGAGATGCATCTTACAGTATACATCGCATTCCAAATGTCCGCGGTCACCGAGTATCCCTTTCTTGTTAGTTAAAGGCGCCGTCCACCCAAAATCTCGACCTCCATGTTTTTGTCGTTCCAGGGCCTTCCCGTACCCCTGATTCCGAATATCAAGTCGAAAATCCGCGAAAACCACGAAAACCCCCGTTTTCAGAACTCGCAGAGCGATTTCTTCGATACGGCGATTGGTTGGGCGCGCACGGATGGGCGGGACGAACGTCACGCCCACCCGATAGGGGAGGAGCCAACGTCGCGAATCGTTACCTGAAGCGATTTCCGAAGCAATTTTCTCGCTTCGGAAGCAACTTTTGCCAGCGCGATTGGATAACTATACAGCTGAGGGCCCCACTATTGTTAGGCAACAAGTCTCATCGACCTCATTTTGGGTGGACGGTGCGTTTAAAGACAGCGTCCGGGTAAAATAACCACAAAACTTTTTTTTTTGCTTACCTGGGCTTATTCTTCTCGCTGATGGAAAATGCAGCTTACAGAGTACGAAAATGTCGAGAACGGATTTTTCCAGAAAGTGTTGATTTTAAATTTGGACGCTTGCCGCCGAGGTTAATATGCAGTCTTGTGGGACCCTACAACTCGACTATGTGTGACATAAGACTTTGGCTATCGATTGAAGGGGCGAATACGTCGCCGAGGCGTTCCGGTCGCCACTTCTGAAGCGGTTTTCTCGCTTCAGAAGCAAAGTGGTGCACTACCACTTGGGCAAGAGCTTTATCAAGGTGGGGGGCCCTTGTACGCTAAAACTTCATATCTGTCCTTGACGCTGCCTTTTAAGGCACCGTCCACCCAGAATTTTGACTTTCACATTTTTGTCGTTTTAGGGCCTTCTCATGTCCCTGATTCCGAATATGAAGTCGAGAGTGCGCGAAAACCCCGACAATCCACGTTCCGGAGAACCCACAGGCCGGCTTTCCGGGACGGTGATTTGGGTAGAGGACTATACGCCGAAAAAGGGCGGTGTCCCCGCGGTCATTTGCGACAAATACGCATTCATGTATATGCGCGGACATGCATTCCTGCAGGAAATCCGCGCTAGACTCTTCCACAATCGGCGACATATAGTCCCCCACCCCGGTGAGGATGGGCGCGCACAAATGGGCGGGCATGGATGGGGGTCCTCGTGCATCTTCGCTATTCCGAAGCAACTTTCTCGCTTCCAAAGCGGCATTTTGCGCCACTACTTGGGCATTGGATTGATGAGGGGCCCTACTATTATATGCTGCCAAAAGCTCAACACCCTCAACCAGGGTGGACGGTGCCTTTAAGGGATCGCACGAAGGCGCACAAACCTTGTTTTTCATTTCGATTGATAATGAAGACAAACATACGGGGCCTTTGAGCGCGGTCTGAACGACCCCTATGCCCTCAAGATCGGTTTCCAGGTGCGATCCCCGTGTCTAGATTTGCCTGCACGCAGCATTGGATACTATAGACCACATGTCGAAGAGTTATCGGAACCAACCAGCCAATTACCATCTTCGATGTCAGAAATTTATAGATTCAAGTTCTGAATTTGAATAAGAGTTATTTTTTTTTCTCGCAGCGATTTACCTCAGTGACGAAAACCATTGATTTAAATACGATTGATTTTCTCTGAGGCAACAGAGAAAATCAATCGTTTCCGTACAACCCGCCATAAAATTTCGATTTCGTAGGAGACGTAAAGTAGCGTGTCTCCTGAAAGACAAGTCGCTTCTATATGTCATCTTCATTTGTGGTGTCGTTCCCTGAGCGAAGGGGAACGACACCACAAATGAAGATGACATATAGAAGCGACTTTCTTTCAGGAGACACATTACTTCACGCTCTCCGAAATCGAAATTTTATGGCGAGTTGTGCGGAAGGCAACCCCAGCAACCTCGGCAACCACTGCCGGCAACCTATGGCCGTTCCCTTACCCTCACCTGGTATATCAACAAGGGAACCGCTCTAGTGGCATGTGCACTCCGATGCCCAGAATCCGCAAGTGGGCAGTGGCGGAGATGAAGCAAAGAAGATTAAATTAGATTTATGCTACATTTTGAGGGCGAATAAACAGCTGTCGTGTGGGAGCGAACCTAGCTGCAACTTTTGAGAGTCCTCTGTTCCGCTGCGTCACAATCGCAAAGGTCCGTTTTTGCCAAGCGACTGTTTTCAAGAGCGGTGGCTCGGCAGGATAGATCCTTTTCATAAATCGCTTGTACTAGTAGGCGTGGCCGAAATCTCATCATCTAAACCAGCTTGGAAGTCTTCAAGCTCTTCAAACTCCTACCAGCCATGCCCACTAACTTCCAATGGGCGACAGTGGTGTTTTGAAGCATGCTTCCAAATTTAAAACAAGACCTAGGGTGACTGCACTTGGTAAGGCTTGGTAAGGCTCCATTCAGTGCCCAAGCTGTGCCGATGCTACGATAGTGCTGTTCCAGTGCCAACACAACGCTACCGAAGGACTGGGGAATTCGTAATACTCGCTGCAGCTACTCGGCAACAGACGCCAGAACTTGCTTTTTTTGCCTAAACTGCGATTTTCTGTCGCGTCCTTTCAATCGACGACTTTGACGCATGCAGCAAGGTCGACGACCTATCGAGAAGACATGAGGAAACTGCTTCCCAAAACTTACTGCCGCCTGCTGAAGCACAATCTTCTCGGAACGATGACAGAGCCGCACCCAGCTTAATTAGAAAACTCTAACCTACACATTTGAAAACTACAGGGTGAAGGTAAAACGGATTGAAGAGACCTTAATGAAGAGATGCAACTTGGTCTTTTTGTCAGGTCGCATCGTTTCCTTGAGTTAGAAAGTCGTTAGGACTGGAACCGCACGGATAGTGCCGTGAGTTGCTCCAAAAGCTGGAGAATAACGCAAACAGTCAAAGGCAAAAGAAGAGATCCAAATAAAAGAACTTTAAATCAGTCAGAGCAGTGGATTTACTTAGAAAGAGAGATACTCCTGAAGGAAACAAAATGTGGCAAAAACTGAAAAGGAATAAAGCTGAAGGATGTTAGAGAAGTGGAGAAAGCAGCGTAGGCAAACAAGCAAGTTCGGCATGCCTGGCCAAGTAGACGCAACGGATACTGATCGAGATTCAGATAGGGAGCTCAGATAGCATTGTGCCGTTTCTACGCCAGCACGGCGCTGTTTCGCGCCGTCCGAGCACCGGTACTGGTCGGGCAACTCTAGACGGAACGTGGGTCCTTTGTTTAGGATCGATAAGATTAAGGCAAGGGTCTGCCGACCCATTGCCTAAAACTGTCTATACCACAACTTCCGCCTACACCTCTTCTATATTTCCGGAATTGTGCCGGATGACGCTTGAACGACATGATTTGCAGATAAAGTCTATCCCAATTGAGACAAGCCCGAAACGTTGACGCAGATTCGCACACTCCAACACTAAGAACTGCTGCCACGTATCTTCACCGTAAAATCTGCTTCTCATGTGCGCGTTCAGTAAAAAAACGTTTGCGCCTACAATTTGTGCTTTCCTTCGGCAGTAGCCCCTTGTTTGCGCTGTATGCTCGCGCCCAAAGTCAGAGCGAGAGCGAAGAAGCCAAGAGAATGGGAGAGAACGGGTAGAAATCATCCTATCATGACTTCTTGGAGCATATCGTGGATGTTACGCAAAACCATGGTGTTGTGGACGCGCATCATTTCACTTTTGGAATGACCCAAATTAGGGCAAAGTGCTTATAGCATACCAGGGGGAGAAATTCAAATTTTCTTGTTGAAGACTTATCGCGACCCTGGTAGTAGCCGTCTGCAACATGCGCACACTGGCACTGACGGAGAGTTGATTGGTGGCTGGATTCCGGAACGAAGGCGAAGTCGGCAACACTTATGAACCTTTTTGTAAATGCGCTCTTCGCCGCGACTTCTGCACCCACCTCTTTGCCTGGCGCTGCGCGTAGTTCAGAGCAAGTCTTCATCTTTAAGTCTGAAGAGAATTTCCCACTCGTCCAAACACAAAGTAAGGCCCTATGAAAAAGCTTCAGCCATTTTCGCCCTTTCATGGTGCATATTTTAATTCAGTGCAGCGTAAAAGCCTGGGTGAGGGAAAAGATAGAATCTAATTCTTCGCCGAACCGTCCTTACAGGGTTGCAACGATGATGCAAAAAACAAGCAAACCATTCGCAGCCGCAGAAATTTATGAATCTGGAAGGTGAAGTGTTCCAACTTGATTAGTAGAGAAAGCGTCTTTGCAACTCATGTGCATCACAGTTTTGGGTAAGTCATTTTGTCACAACGATACGATTTCACAGCCTGCACACCACATGCCCATACACCCACGACTACATTCAAGGATTTCTCTGACATCGCTTGACAAAGTCTCAGTACTACCTTTCTGACAAATGAATGATAACCAGCAAAATATCCAGTACTTAATAATGTTTCGCTTGTGCTATACTCGAACATGAAAATTGAATTTCACATCAGCTTGACTGTAAGGCAAAGCAGGACTCACTTCCACTGGATGACATTTTTTGACTTCTTCTCTATAAGGCCGATACCCTCTAACACATTGGTGATATCATAGATGCGCCTCTTTTGACGCACACTTAACGCTTCCGCAGCCTAAAATAAGTGTTTGCAATAAGTTACTTAACAAAAATAGCAATACCTGATTCAGATCACATATTCCACCCGATGAGCACTCGAGTAAACGTATAAATCGTTGCGTTAGCAGGCCTAATGATTTATCTGCCCTTGTCCCCATTTGGGGTTGGTCGATGCCATCATCCATTTCGTCATATTCACCTGTACACACAAAGGCCACTCCTTTGTTATTATTTCAGCATCAACAGCTTCAAGCATATCCACCGTAGTTTGTAAAACACGCCGAAATATCTTGGGACGGACTGAGATTAATCAAAAGCTTCAGCACATGTTCAGCAAAGTGCATCCATAATGCATAGCATAGTGCATAACACCTCTACGTACCCGCGCAAGCGTATTGAATAAATGTAATGTATAATTCACAAAAAATCGCTTTTGACCCTAGCTTTGGCTCTGCAACGCTAAACTTTGGATTTACTGACAGCGAAACATAGATAAATAGCTGCAGTCAGCAACTGAACTGCTTGCATCATCTCACATGTATTTCTTTTTTTGGAAATCGAGAATATACTTTTTGGAAAGGAATCACTTCCGGCCCACCTTCAGATGGGCTTAAAAGTGAAAAAAACACCCTAATTTCACGAGTACAAGGCGCAGCTCTCTCATTTTTTCCAGACAAGCCGTTCGGCCTCCCCACTGTACCTCGCGAAATGGTCGCTCTCTCAAAAACATATTTTGGCCCTGACCACACTTCGCTCAAAATCGCTCAAAAGTGCCCATATCTCTCTAATCTTTCTCATCTCTCCTCACACGAGAAAGTGAAGAGACATTGAAGAAATTTGGGCGCTTTTGAAGTCTGGCCAGGGCCTTGGGTAAGGAGCAGCAAAGGGTCATTAGACCTTGAAATTTTTTGTGTGTTCAGGCAGGTCAAGTACAAAAAAAACGGGTGCGTCTTCTACTAGTGAAAGGGTAAATTCGATGTATAATGTTACGAGCGAGTTTCGGTTTGAAAACCAATTTGCTGATTTCCGCTGCAAATCTTGTAATGAAGATGGATCGAATCGATTGAAGTGAACTGATTCTCCACGCGTTATAAGATGGGGAGAACAGAGAGGTTTTGGCCGTCAACGAATGACATTGATCAGCATAAGGCGCTGATTTAAGATTATTTCACTACGCAAGACGTCAGAGGCCGAGGACTCTCCGAATGCTAGCACTTCAAACAAGTTTGGTGACGATTAATTGGTGACATCTTTAAAATAAATGTACCCTAGATTCACGAGTGCAAGATTACCTGTTTTTTCCTAAACCTGACCAGCCCGAACACAAGGTTTCTCTACTTGCTGCTCCTTGCCCAAAAAATTGTGTGGGGGCGACTACCTCGCGAGGCGCAATGGTACGGCCAAGCCTCTTGCATAAAAAAATGAAAAAGGTGCATCTTGTACTCGCGAAATTAGGGTAGCTAAACAGATGTTTCACTTGTCACTCTACTACCAGCAGTTACCCGCGATGCCGATCAGTGCCTAAGCTCTTGAAGGTTTTTATTTTACAATACCTCCCTTCTAGCGGTACTCATTCCCGAATCGGGGAAAAAGCTCTAATGCGTTGTTTACAAACGCGTTGTGTAAGGTAGGTGCCAGAGTAAGCGAATATTTTGTTCAAGTTGGGGTCCCGCGCAGAACTGGCATCACTAATCATTGTGGCATAATGCCAACTTGGCGTTGTGCCACAATGATTAGTAACGCCAGTTCTGCGCGGGACCCCAACTTGAACAAAATATTCGCTTACTCTGGCACCCACCTAAGGAATGTGCGTTGCGCATAGAAAAAAGAGCCAGTCCGCGCAGTAGTCCCACAAACTGTTTAGAGAATCTTACCTGTAGTCTCAACTTCAACTTCCTCCAGTGCTTCACCGCAAATAACGGCGCCATTGTCTGAAGAAGTAGAAGCTTTCGTGTCGTGATTCGCCAACTTGCTTCCGCTTGTTGTTTCATTTCGGTGATTAGCGCCAGCGACCCTGTTCCCACTCGAATCGAGCAAATTCATAATTTGCAAAGAAAAAGCTTTCTAAAGACAACATGCTTGCAAATGCAGCGAAAAACAGGAACGATTTCAAAATCAGAATTCTTCCCACCTAAATCGAGACGATGCAAAGGCGGCAATTTTGAAAGCCGCCGCAGTTTTGCTCGGCGTTGGCGATGAGCCGCAGCACGCGTCGCGGCCAAATTTTTCGATTTCGTGCGCAGCTTGCAAAAAGAATTGTCCTTGGAGCATACTTGACGCGTTTGGGAAAATTCTACGATGAGTGGTCTAAGTTCCAGTGATGAATACACTGAAGAGGATCTGCTGCATGTTTGCGAAGATTTGGGTCTGCCATGCGACGAAGAGAACGTTGGATTACTGAGGGACGGTAAGATCTTGTCGTAGTCTTCTAGTTTTTCAATTCCATTGATACAGTTTCTAGTTGGCATTCGTTGCATCGCAAATATTTCGCGCCAAATTGTTCAGTTTTCTTGTTCAAAGGTGAAATGTATGGATTCGACTATTCTGAGGGACCGTCATAATTTGCCGAAAAAAGCCCAAAAAAGCCCAAGTCCGAAAGAGTTGCTTCGAAAGCCTCGCAAGACTTCCGTTTTGACGCTAAAGGGCCAGGCATACATCACGCGACTTCATCGCTTCGCGATTCCCCCAACAAGACATTCGCTACAAGTTCACTGCATGCAGATCATATTTTCGGTTGTGAGAGCTTTCCAATACGACTAATCGCGACTAATTATCACAACCGACATGCAAGATGATCACAATGCAATTGAATCGTAACAGTTGTCTTGTTTTGAAGATCGCGAAGCGATGAAATCGCGTGATGTATGCCCGGCCCCTAAGGCATGTGTTGATTTCGCAACCGAGTCTTTTTGCTTCATTTTCTGTCGTCTGCACATCAAAATAATGTCAGTATTCTATCAAAAGTTCATTTTGCTTTCCGGCTCTTTCGGGCTTTTTCCGGCTTTTAGGGCTTTTCGGGCTTTTTTGGGTGCTTTTGGGCTTTTCTCGGCGAAGTATGACGGGTCCCTGAGAGGGGTAAACGGCCTCTCTCATTTTTGTGTGCATTGTTATCAAAGAAACATGCTTTTCGAGGAAGTATATATCATGGGATGTGGTACGGAAGGCGACAACCCAATTTTCTGTGCCATGAGAACTGGGTACTAAAGTCACACGGCGGCAAATCACAGGAGATGGGGAAGTGACAAAAATATAATTCGGCCCATAAGTAAAATCCTGTAGATGTTAGGGAAAGGGATTTTACATTTTTGCTTTTTGGTTTTTTCTTCGTTTGTTGCAAAATGAGAAGGGCTGAAATCGAGTGGGATCTATCTTACTTGGCATCAATAGATGGCGGCTGGTTTAAGAAACACCGTGCTTGCATTCATAGTTTCTATAATTATGCTTTAAGATAATAGTTGATGAAAAGTTTTTCAGCAATCGATGAGATCATCTTGGAATCAGAATCAGGAAGCGACGATGAAAGAAATGATGGTACACTGTTTGGAGGTTTGAGCCTCTCCGACTCCTTGCCATCGACTGGAAGAAGTGGATCGGTCAGTCCAAAAGAGTTTGCGTCTCCTATACGTCGTTCAGGTATATCCATTAGTTTACGTGTTCTGCAGTTGTGCGAGAGTGAAAAAATAACTTTAGATAGAAACAACCTATCACATCCCGGTTACCATGGAGAACATGGAGGACGGAATAGGGAGGTTCCACTTGATTTGCCGACATCACAGGAGAATGAAGAGTTAGTAAGTAAAATCTGTTAGTTTGCTAGACCAACTTGTTACATTTTGCTTTAGCGACGTTACAACCCTACCGCTTATTTCCTGCTCAATGACGCATGGCGCTGTCTTAGCAACGTTTATGGAACTATGTCGATTATGGAAGACTTGGTAGGAGTTGTGGCTGGTAGAATCTTTGATAGTTATTTGTGAATCTTTAAAGCAAATCAAGTTGTCGTCAACCAGAAGAAGGTCGTCTTCACATGGAAGAGTGCAGCGAGATATTCTCAGACTTGATTTGAGAGACGAAAATAAAGGTACTTTTCATTTTGAACTAACAGACTCATTCATAAGTGTAGAACAGCAAACGCTGGTTCTGTGGTTCCGTGTAGTAATATTAGAAGTGTGATCCTTCTCGTAATTATACTTCACACTCAGACTCGAAGAAAAATTGAAACCACCTTGTATTTTATCGTTGTACTGACCGTTTCTTTATCATATTTGCAGAGAACAGGGCTCAATCATGCAACTATCGAGATGTTGCCTACCCAAAATATAGTGAGCGCTCTACTGAGACAGGAGTTTCAAACGACCTCCAATCAGCCGCAGATAAAGCAAACTTCCAGCCGGACCCCAGTTCGTCTCTTTGACCATCCATTTTCTAGTCCAAATCGTTCAATTTTTTGTTTGACTTCATGTTCCTGCTCAGGCATTCGTCCCGTGAACCGGTTTGTTCCTGGTCAGCTGCTTTATCGACATGACCCAGTGAAGAGGTTCGAATTGTATCGGTGGGTTGTTTACATGTCAGACTATCCCTAGCATCTTGAAACTGGTAAAATCCCCATGTTCAGAGAGGAATGGGCTAGGAAGCCAGCCCCGGGTGAGCAGAAGCGACTAGCATTGCGGTGGAAAGTACGGGAGTATATGCTTAGGCATGATATCCCGCAGTAAGTTTTTACAAAGACCTTAATTTTTTCTTTTTTTTTGAACAAAAATGGCTTCAGATTTGATCCAAGAAATCCTCCACCTCCAACAGCGTTTCATCCAAAAGATTGGTCTCCTCGACCATATATCGACTAAGCACTTTTTGTTCTTCTTCGTCAACATCTTGCTACCATGTGTATTATCTGCTCTTTCACTGTACGCTGAATTCTATACGTTGATCTCCGAAAAAAAGGTGCATCTTTTTCGCTGATATTCTCATTATGATCACAGTGACTTCGCAAGTATCTGCATTTGATTCACTTGGCATAATCATATCGTTTCACTCATAAAAATTTTATTTTCGAATTCTGTGAGTATGATCTTTGGCTTTCACAAAAAATTTCTGTAATATTGTTACCTTTCCATTGTCAACGCCTGCAACTTGTTTTGTGAATCACTTTAGGAGTGCAGGCATGTCGCGGTTCATGCTTCGTCAAGGAGAAAAATTCATGATGGCATTGGGGAAGCACGATATACCGGGATTAAGATGGTTGTTGGAGGGTTTCAATTAGTGAGTCCGTTATCTTGGAAGTTTTGTGAAACGGTTAATCGTTCCAATGTTGCCAGTGGGTACTCATCAAAAAGTGTAGAAGGTAGTTGTCCAGTGTCGTCTCAAGCTAGATAGCAATTGCCCTTGAAGTGGTACTATACTTACTCATCACCTAGGTCGCATTTGGAGGGGATTTGAATGCGATCTGTAGCCGTATTTATCAACAACCCAGTGAGTAGGCTAACCCAGTGGTCGGTATTCAGAACGCTATGGGTTGGGTTACCTACAGCGTATTCATCAATGGCTTGGCTTACTCAGTGGGTAGGCTAATCCGTGGCCGGTATTCACCAAACTAATGGGTTTAGCTTACCCAGTGGGTTGATGTACTGGGTTCTGTTGGTGGATACGGCCAGTGGACTACCATGGGCAACCACTTAACACTTTGAGACTTTTGACGATACTTTAATCATCTTCTTGCCCTCACAAGGAGGAGCAATTTGCGAAATGTGCCCATCGCGAAGTGTTGGCGCGAGAAATTTGGCAACACGATGCATCCCTCCCGTTTGGTACGTTCTGGGATGAGAATGTGAGAGAGGTTTAGGGACCATCGTGGCCGTGAATGGATCCTTTGTATCGCTGTGTGGGCAGTGCTTCAGTCAAGGCTAGCCATCAGTTTTCATGGAGGTGCATGCGGCCAGAATTGTCTGGACATTGCTTTCAAGAGAGCAGCAGTGTTTATCTTTTCACGAGCCTTATCGCCGAAATGCATATGTCTTTTCAATCACCTCAGAGCAGTCTTCTCGGAAGTAACTCAACTAGGTTATATATTTCATTATCTTTAAACGTTCTTCTTCGCGTCATAATAATGTCCTTGTACATAAGTAATGTCTTAGTTGTGGTAATATTGTGCAAGAGACTAATGTGCAATGCATGCAAAGAAAGAAAGCATGCCGGGATTGACGGTGAAGCTAGTTGTCTATGGTAAAATCATCCCACCTACCCGCTTAGCAAAATCCGCAAAAAATGATGGACAGATGGAGGCAAATCTTTACCAACGAAAATAGTGAGATGTCGCCAGCCCACCTTATACATGAAGACGGGTCGATAGACATAGTTTATTTTTTGCCTCAAGCGCACCTAGGGGTGATGCTGTTGCATTCACCTTCACCATCTGTCAAACTGTGCAATTTCTTCACGACGCAGCATTCAAAGAATTTCTAGTGAGAACAGTTTGATATCTCCCGTAGATCATAAACTTCAGCTATGAGAATTACTCAACTTATTTTTCTAATAATCCAAATAAGCTAGGAGTTTCAAACATAATCTGCCCTTGTCCCAGAATGCACCGTTCGCAGCAGCGGAGACAGTAGCGATTCGCCTATATCCGCTATACCTCAATCGTCAGGTATATGAAGCCTAAGCTTCACAGGGACAGGAAGCAAGCCCTTGAAGATAGCGTCCGCCCAAGTAGGTGGGTGACCTATGGATTTCTGTTTTTATTAGGCCTGCCGCGCTAAACAAGAACACGGGCTCCAAATTGGGCACGAGCTTGAAAAGGATGAAAATAGGTTGCACCTCCTATGAGCAAACCCGAACGAGATGGTTCGGAATAAGCATGTAGCAGGTCATAACGTTGCGGCATGCCTCCTCTGACGTGTAGGCTTCTTCAAGCGTGTCGGAGCTAGTCCTCCACTCGTCTCTGACGGTTGGAGGGAAACGAGCTTGTCCGAGCGCGTGTAAGAATGGCTTGCGCGCAAGGATTTGAAGGCAATTCTTTTTGGCAGGGTAGCATGCGTGCGCTTGGACTTGCTTTATTTTCATATTTGGGGTGTAAGCAATCTGTCGTATCAATTTTCCAAGACGTTCAGTTTTACGAAGTCACTGCCTTCAGCGACTGAAGCAGGCGCAAAACTCTTGATACCTATGCTCGGGCGTAGGAAAATGATCAAACGACACGTTTGTGTGCGCCTTGCGGAGCCCAAGCAGGCTATCGCGCGTGATTTGAGCCGTACTCGGGGTCACTGCCCATGAGACAAGACTGTACCTCTAATCTATGAAAAACGAATTACGAAACAATGTATGAATGTGGATTTCCAGTTATGATGTCGAGCGCATCAAAGAAGTTGGTCCCAATCGCGCGGCGGCCGAATGGGTGGTACGGTGTGGAGGCGCTGTGAAGTACTTGAGAATGCAAACGGTGTATAATCCTAATGTGCTTATTCTAGATTCGACAAGATCGATAACGTCTTCAGTGATTACAATGCCCTAATTAAAAGATGCGCAGAGTTGGATCCGAGGATACCGCAAGACGATGTGAAAATCACGCATATTCACGCCATTGACGCCAGTGTGTCTGGCTATGGATGCCGTCATTTCAGTGCGTTTCAAAACCAAAGTCTTACATCGTTAGCAGGATCTTATGACTATTCAGAGGGCTTAGACGGGATCCAGGAAGTCAAATTTATACGCTGTAGCAGTCTTCATGATTTCGGGTTGGAATACATGGCAGATGCTGTTGGTGCTCACCTTAGTCGACTCGAAATAGATAGCTGTCGTCGAATTACCGAATTTGGTCTTATACATCTTGAAAAGTGCAGGTACGTGTCAACTAATCCTCTAAAAAATTTTCTAATCATGGTAAGGCGTTTCAGAGCTCTCAAGTCGCTACGCTTAGCACATCTGAAGCATGTTCATGGTCACGATAAAGTGCTACAACGGTTGACGAGGGCTTTGCCCAACACGGAAATTAGTTTTGTGGCTTCTTAACGCTGTTCTATCAAGTTCAGTTAAAGCTACCTCACTCGGTGCTGTTCTAGGACTGTCATTGCTATGTAGTTGATCCAACTCCGCCTCAACAGAAACACTTTTGAATGTTTTAGGAATATTTTACTTTTCGTAAGTGCAATTTTTTGAGAAAGAGGGCAAGACTTAGTGAAATTGTTATCTGCTTCTTTCGTTGTTCCTGCAAAGTGTTATACACTTCCTGTACAGAAAAATTGATCATTGCCTGCGGCTGGGGGTGATTTAGGGAATTTGATGGGTTGCTGTGAAATGTTGGCTCTGACTTTAGCAAAATCTTACTTTCATTCTTACAATGGGTTTGAAGTATCAATCGATGGAACAAAGATGTTTACGGAAAGTGATTTAAACATTCTAAAGTTGGATACACGCGAACTGACAAAATTTGAAAAATACCGATCTCTCGAGAAAGTGGATCTTTGCGTCAAAAAATCACATACAATTGATAATGCATATGCTGTCTACTCGAAACAATCATTTAGTATGCTTTCCATGATTGAAATTAGAGAGACAAAATCTGACTAGTTCCGACCTGAGAAATTTCGGGATTTTTACGTAAGTGACCGCGTACTCAAAACCTTTGTGGCTACAAAAATAATCAAAGTTTCTTCCGACGCATTTTTTTCTGTTTCCAACTAAAATACAGCAATTATATAAGAAACGGGTGTACACTAAAATCGTGAGCAATGGGTGAATTCATAGACTTACTTGGTGAAAATCTGTTTTTTGGCGCGAACGATTATCTGTAGAAGTCGCCTCAAACTTGCAGGCCAAACTCTATGCAAATATTGATAGACCCCTTGTCGAGATTCTTTCGCTTTGTAAGTTTTCTCCATATTGGAAGAATAGTACGAAATAACCTGACCTCGCAAATTTCATCGAGTTAGATTAGTTTCACAGAAAATGTTTTCCGGATTCGGTCGCAGGCAACCTCTTTGGTCACAAATTTGAAGATCACAAACCGATCGTTTAAGAAGCACCCAGAAATTGTTTATGGACGTGGCTAACGCAGTGCCAATTCAAACGTGAAACTCCACTTTTCCTCCCCTTCCATCTTCTTCCACCAACGAAAAAATTCCTCTCGAAAACACGAAACAACTGCGTTTCCTGATTTCAGTGAGAAGTTGCTGAAAGTGAAGCTTGACTACTCTATCTTTTCCAACGTAACCCAAGTCTTTTACATTCGGCGCTGTCACGACCGGATGCCTCAAAATGTTGGTGAATGCTTAGTGCAAGGCTATGAAGCCGACTACCTTTGTTTCATTCAATTTTACAAAGTAAACTACAAATTACTCAAACTGGGTAAATGTCAGTGGAAACAAAAGTGTCTGCCGGCTCATGCGAAGATTTAATCGCCAAAGTGGAACTTTCTCGAAATTTTTGTTTTTTCTCATCATAACTCGAGTGATGTGCTACCCGAAGCAAGAGGTATATGCATAACTTAGCGATTTGCTCTATCCAACTGCCTCTGAAGGTGTGTGGAAATGGTAGGAGTACTGCAAAATGGAACTTTGAAAAGCAGCCCATTGTGTACCAGCATAGCCTGATGTATCAATAAGATTAAACATCATATTTTACAAAAAATTCTCCAGACCGATTCGAGTAGATCTGATGGTGTAATGCCTCCTAGCCTGATAGCTCATTCTCAAGCCTTCAACTAATTCCCCGGCTCTTCTATTTTATGAAGCCTGTCGGTTCCAAAGCTCAATACGAGAATAACCGGGATCTCATCATCATCAGCACGTGGACGAGATTTCACTAGATATCATCAAGTCCACGTGCTATATCGCAAGATGGAAAATGAGAGATATTGACGTCATCAGTGATACAATTCTCTCGTATGGATGCGTAGTGCCTAGACTTTGGATATTCGAGTTCCGGTCGATACGATCAGTGCCGGTCTTTGTCACATAGTGGAACAATCACTCTTGCCACGAACGGCTTGTGAGTGATTGAAATCATTTTTTAAAAAAAGCAGAGAAGAGATCGTATGGTTTCGTCACCAATGGTTCGCGGATTCACAACGAACATCAGTGATATAGTACAAATTCTATGTGTATAGTAATTATGAGGGATCTAGAAACAGCAGCGGAAAATCCATGAAAAGCTTGACTATTTCTAATATAGTCAGAGAAAGAAGAAAGTCGGAATTTCTCCTCTCTTCCATAAATCTATGGATCGTTGCGAAAATCTTTTCTGTACCTTACCTCTTCTTCTGTTCGGTAAACTCATCTTTTGCTCAGGCTGCTTTAGGGCCATCTAGCATTACCCAAAAGGCATGACTAGGTTTTGAAAGCTTGTTATTGAGCTGGCTGAGTCGCCCCCTACGGTAAGAAAGGACATCGTTATAAGAGTCACCTCTCCCATCACAGCTCCGGTCAACTCATTCCACGGAGGGACAATCAGTAGAGCAGAACTATTTAGTATGATTCTTACTTGGTCATACCCGCGGCTGGACAATAAGAGGAAAAACACGAGAAAAGACAAGAAGCTGGTTACCGTCTCTTCACTTCGGGAAAGGTGCCGAGATGCATGACAGCCAACATTCGCACCAGCGGCAAGGAATTATGTCTACCACTGCCGCTACCGTGGATTTAGAAATTTGCTGAAATTATTTTTGAAAATTCGTTGTTTTTACAGGGGCTGGCTCACATAAGACATTCATAGACGAGCAATACAGTAGAAGCACTACGATGAGTGACGTGACCGACATAAATGTATAGCTAAATCTTTTGCTTTACCGTAGCATTTGAAGAAATTGAAAGTATCGAAATACTTGACAAAACTTCATAACTTTATAACTCAAATGATTTTTCCTCACGTCGAGATTATGTGGAGGGATGTAGCTTTTCAATATATACATGTTATAAAAAAACAGCCTGTTGTTGACTTTTTTCGAAATTTTTGAATAATTTTGGGCAAATTACCAGCCACGTTATCTAAAAGCTCAGTCTTCCGAACTGTCTCTGTATTAGTACTGATGCTGCCGGGTACAAAAAACTATAAAAGATGAAAAAGAAGGATAAGGGAATTTTTAAAAATCAAAACAGTTATCTAGGTGCCTTTACAAAATTGTTTCTATATTTGCTGTGACTCATGTCCATGAAGGTGAATAGGAGCTAGTGGCTATCTGTGCGATAATTTCGAATTCTTCATAGCAATGAAATGATTGCCTTGACAAATGTCAAGAAGTGATTCATATCATTTTGAGGTGCATTTTGTTGTCTAGTGCCTGAGTCAATTGCGAATTCCTCCTAAATGAAACAATGAATCAACGTTTTTCGCTGATATAAAAGGACTGTCTTTGTTGCTCTTTGGATTTTCCCTCAATAAGTAATTCCACTCGTCTCTTCGCATCATGACCACGGACCAACCAAGAACCGCACATCAAGAAGCTCTACTATCAAAGACGATAGAAATTCGAGATGTCCAGCACTCTACGCCAACAAATGGGCATCGCAAACGACAACTCCTTCGAGCCGTGGAGAAGGCGAACCGTGAGCGTATAGAACTTCTCAACTTCAGACTATCAATGATGATGAACTGACCACGTTTGTCTTGGTTGTGCCTTGTGCTAGATCCTTTAGCCAGAAAAATCTGGTGAAATCTTGGCTTTCATTTTGGAGTTCTTCCATGAGAAATGCTTTCTCAATACCACCTGTTATGAGAATGGATGCTGTCCGTGCGCGAAGAATGATGCCCAGAAGATCAGGAAGGAGTCCTTAGGTCCTTTGTGCAGTACTTCATTAAGACTCGAAAAACCTTTTTTCTTTGCCGAACCATCAAAGACGCATCGGATTTGTATGTTTCTTTGATTCTGTGATCACTCCATGATGTGCAAGGTAATGACATTGTCCCGATTTTGCTTTTCGCCAACTTCCTCTATGATTCCTCTTTGCAGCTGTTCCGCGAAAATGGCGTGGTAGTTTCCCGAAGAGGCTGATTTTTTCGCAACATTTTCACATTTGCAGGAAATCTTGAAAGGCGATATCTTTGTTAGAGGACAGTTCAGATGGTAAAACTTTGGAGGGTAGTTTCACGGAGAATCGTCTTTCCTCTTTCATGTAGATGACAGAGTCGTAAAAGTCTTGAAGGTTTCGTTATCGCGTTCGTTGGGGTTATCTATGATGCCCAGAGATTCGTTATTCCAGAACTTCTCGACTAGTTCCAGAAGGAGTGGTTTTTGGATTTGCCATGTTTGTGCAATCGTAGTCACGAAGGGGTAAGCAGCTTGTATGATCACACCGAAAGGCGCTGTCTGCTGCGGTTTCTCCGAATTGCGTATGTAACATGCGTAATCCATTATCTGTTATGTTATCATTGCAGTTATGTAAAAGTCATCAAAAGACCAGGTCGCAAAGGTAATCCATACCGATGAGGATTCCTGGCTTGGATGACTTTGTGGTCAAAGTATTTAGTTGTTGACTTTGGATCCATAGTTATAGTCCATTTCATTTGTTTGGTGAGCGGTGTTGTTTGGAAAACCATCTGCAAATCATTCAAATGTCCCACCTGGGAGCTTACTGTTTCAGTCGAAATGACATTGCCGAGCCAAGAAGAGATATGAACACATCGCGTCATACTACATCCTGGGAAGACAGTAGCCATCGATGACATCAAGCTTTCACTCATAGACACTACAACACCATAGCTGCCCATAGCTGCCCATATTATCATCAACATTCATTGAGGACAGAGAAAGAACAACGCAGATAATGCAAGCACAAGCAAACCAACTTATATTACATTCTCCTGCACAGCTGCAAAAACCAGCTGCATCTGCGCTTAAGGGAGTATAGCACCATACATGCATCGGAATACATTGCGTATGGTCACAAAACTCGTCACAAAAGAAAGTCGAACGAACTCTTCATGCGCAAACGCACATCGGCTCTTCGCTTCAAGTTTAAATAACTGTGAATCATTTGAAACTAACAACTATCCACACAATGGACAAGTGCGAAGTTACATCGTCTACAATTCAAGGACGCTGCTCGTGCATGGTTGGAGCCAGGATAGACCTGAAGCCATAGCAGTGAGACAGACACAACAGTATCCTGTGTGCTGGACAACTTCAAATAG